CCCGGCTGTGACACGTGTTCGGTAAATCCAAAGGCTCCCGGCTGTGACACGTGTTCGGTAAATCCAAAGGCTCCCGGCTGTGACACGTGTTCGGTAAATCCAAAGGCTCCCGGATGTGATGCATGCTCGAACAACCCCCAAGCTCCCGGCTGTGCTGCAAAAACGCCAGAGAATTGTGATGTAAACCCTTATGGGCCCGGATGTAACGTAGATTGTGGAAAAACTCCCGCACCTTCAGGATGCGCTAACGTTCCAGACTGTGGAAATAATTCCGGTGCGGTCGGATGTAATGGTGACAAATTGGACTGTGGCAAATATCCGAGTGCTCCTAATTGTGGTATTAAAGCTCCGGTAGATTGTTCAAAAACTCCCAATGCACCAGGATGCGTCGATTGTTCAAAAACCCCTGATGCTCCAGGATGTACCGATTGTTCAAAGACCCCCGATGCTCCAGTATGTCTACAATGTACTCAGAATCCATATGGATCGGGGTGTGGCAATGTTGATTGTAAATTAACACCAGAAGCTCCAGGTTGTTCAAATATTCCAAATTGCGAAAGTTCTCCTAACGCTGTAGGATGCATTTATGGTCAATTGGACTGTGCAAAATATCCAAAAGCTCCTGAATGTATAAACAAAAAACCGGATTGTTTCAATAACCCAAACTTGCCTGGATGTAATGATTGTAATAATAACCCATATGCTTTTGGATGTGATGTATGTTCACAAGTCCCACAACCTGAGAGATGTCAAGTTGGTTATTGCGATAAAAATCCCGGTTTACCAGAATGTGCTGTTTCTTTGACGGATAGTATAACTATTTATGCAATTGAAAGAGAATTTATCTTGGTCACATATTATTGTAACCCGGCAGTAAATAATGACGTTTGTGGTAAGATGATCAATTGGGAAGGAACAGTATTCAGGTACATATAGACGTTATGTTATAAATCATACGTTTTCATTCGAATCATTTACTAATTAAAATTTACGATCTTAAATACAGCGAGATCTATTTCGAGAAATCATGCACTGATGGTAAAATTTTTGAAAGCATTAATGTCAAAGGAGGATTTTTACATATTTGTTATAAATCAGAAACCAAAGAAGCCGTTTGGACCACTTTCGGAGCCCCGTAAGTTTCAGATTTAAAATTCGCGTTCTCTCTTTCCGTTTTTTTTTTATCCAACTCACGCGATTTATTGATTCATTTAGAAATAAAAAAGGAGAAGTAAATGTAATTACAACGAATAAAATAACCGAAGTATACACCTTTGATGCCAATTACACACACGTATTCGAAAAAGAAGATGGTGGATATTGCGTAGTGACTAGTAAATCTGCTGACGGTTCTGCAACATTTTCCGTGCCATGGAATATTCTCGTTACATTTATCCCAAAAGATTCCACATCTGGAACTTCTGGACCTTATGAGATTTACAAAGAAACGTCAACAACTGTGGTCGAATTACACATTTACAAATGTAACATAGCATACCAATCATCAGGATACAGCTGCATAATTAAAACAGTTGATGGAGGCCAAACCACATTTACTGAAATCGACTTCTTGGGCACAGGTAGTAACGGTAAAGTTACTAAAACACAAAAATATACAGTACCGCAGATTACGGCTGAAAAGGTTGTGACGGATGTTGAATCATTAGCTTATGGTGGATATGTTATTGTAACAAAGGATAGTATTACCGGAAAGAATAATGGTTATGTTGTCAATAATGAAGGAGTGTATAATGAAACTATAAATTGGGGTCTTTCCGATAAAGATTCTTACGTTGACGTTATTGTACTTCCCAATAATACAATTGTTGGTATTCCTAATGATTCTTTAAAAGTTGGAACTACTGGAAACAGTGGTGAAAGTATTACCATCGCCTCAACTGATGATTTAACAAACTATTCTACCGGTAAGTTTTTTAAAGCAAAAATTAATTTTGTCTTCTTTAAAAAGAAGAAAAAAATTTTAATCATTCTTTTTATAGTTGAAGGAGGAGATGGAACAGCACCGGGAGGACCAGGTGGATATGGAAGTTCAAAAATATTATCCACAACTCCAGGGAAAGGATCCACAGTACCATTGGGCACGAAACAAGCAGAAGAATTTACCATTACATATGGAATACCTGTAGTGTTTTCAACCGGAAATTTCAGTGTATACCAAGTTAATGGAACTGACGTGGTCTTAAAACAAGCAGTCTCAGCAAAAGATGAACAATATGTTACTGTTCAAGAAAATATTGTTACAGTTAAAATATTGAAAAGTACTCTAAACACGTATAACGCTCCTAATGTTCCTTATTATGTTGAGGTTGATAATGATTTCGTAATGGAAAAATCAAATGGTCAAAACGTTATAGGAATTAGACCAAAAATTTGGAATTTTACCGCAACTAGTAAGTACTCGAATGAATCACGTGATTACTTTCTCTTTTTTTTTTTTTTTTTTACTAAATAAATTATTCATATTCTTCAAGATTCAATGGCTTACCCAGCAGGAGGTACATATATATAATATTTTTTTCTGAAAAAAAAATATCTTTGATGTACTTTATATTAAGAAATTATTATTTTTTAGGCTCAGCTGATTCAGCTAGTGCAATTATCCGATTGTCAGTTAATGGAACGAAACTTTATAAAAGTTCTTCTTCAGAGGATAAAAAAACATTTGTAAATACAATGAGCGAAGAAATTTCAAGGGCAATTTCATGTGAACCAGGACGTTTAACAACCACCAAAAAATATCAATACGATGCTGAGACCAAAGAAGATCAATTCATAATGAGAGTTGACATCAAAAAAGCGGCATCATTCGAACAAGCTAGTTCGGATCAACTTATAGATTCTTTAGATGATGTCGTTAGAAATAAAGCGCACAATTCATTATCGGATGGCGATAGCGCTAGTTATATTGATGAATCTAATGGTGCTCCTCGTACCGAAAATCTTAACAAATACAAGTTTATTCTTATCGGATTCTTTATTTTATTGTTCATATTGATCGGATTGGTATTTTGGGCTCGAAAGAAATATAAGAACGGACGAAACTTTTTGGCGATATTCTGCCTTGCGTTTATCCCAATTGATTTAATCTTAGACATTGCATTCATGTCCATTCATGGAAGAGATTACAAATGGGTTCTCCCCACATGGTAAGGATTTCTCCAAAAATTGTTAATTCCGAAGCCATCCTTTTTGACATAATAATATATTTATTTTATTTATTTTTTTTTTATTGTAGTCTCGTCTTTTTCTTGGTTCCAATGCTTTTCAATTTATTATTTACAATTTATATAAATAGACTTGATAATGACAATGAAGCACTTAAAGTATGGAAGAATAATCATCCAATCGTGGCAAATGTATTTTTAGCATCATCAATTATTGATACAGATGCATTACAAGAAGTATCATCAAAAGCTGGTGGGATTCCAACTTTGAGTGCGCCATATTCAGTTAAAGCCCAGAGATTAATCCTGATTTCTACCGGATTCGTAGCAGTTTTCGAAGATTTCCCTCAATTTGTTTTTTATAGTGTTTATTTATCAAAATACGTTAAACCGGCTATAGTACCGATTCTTGTCTTATCATCATGTATAATTGTTTTATTCTTGAAATTTTCTGCTCTAATATTTTACACCTGCTGTTATAAAAACGGTAGGAAACCAAGTGATAAAGAAAAAGTTATTAACGATGATAGTAGCAGTAGCAGTTCTTCTAGCGATTCTGGTTCCAAAGAACACAATTATGCACCTGATAATGCAGATACAGGAAGAATAAACGAGAAAACTGATACCGCTAATGTACCACCAACGAAAGGAAATTATTCACCATCAGATGGACCTTCCGGTAAATCAAATAAACCTACGGGTAGCGCGCGAGGTAATCCAGAACAACCGGTCGAATCTTTTGGAAATGTTAAACCAGTTGAGAACAGAACAATTAATCCAATATCAGCCGAGAAAGAACCAATAACTTCTTCAGCACATAATGAAAATAATAAGAAGGGAAGGTTTTCTACATTAATTAGTGGTATTAAGAAGTCAAAGAAAGAAGAAGATATCAGTAATACAACCAATATTGAAGTAACAAAAGATACCACCACTTCTGATACTACTCTGAAACCAGTTATCGATAGTACAAATAGAGATAGTACAAATAGAGATAGTTCTATAGAAAATTATAATAATTTCACAAATTACCTCAACACAACAGAAGGAGCAAAATCGGATGGAGATAATTTAGCAGGAGCATCAAATTCAACTGTACTTGGATTTGGTTTGTATTCATTTGGTGGAGGTGGTGGAGGTGGTTATTCTGAAGGTAACAAAACAAATACCGTTACGTCAACAACAACAGGTCAAGAGACAATTATCAGTAAGGAAAGTAATACGGAAAACGATTTGAAGAAGGTTGCCACCGGAGTAGGAATTGCTGGAGCAGCAGCCGCAACAACCAAATACGTCACGTCTAGTACTACTAGTACGGACGAAGCTGAAAAAGATGGATTTACTAAAACTGTGACGACCACCGCCACGACAACATCAGATGGCGGAGTAGAACACATTACTAGAGTGATATCTGGTGAGGAATATGTTACTACGGAAGAAGAATATATTATTACCTCCACCGGGGAAAGAGGATATATTACTAAATTAACAGGTGAAGATGGGGACAAAGAATATTTTATTACCGCTACAGGGGGAAGAAAATATATTATTACTACAACGATAGGTGATCATGGTGCTAAAGAATATTTTATTACCTCTACCGGAGAAAGAATATATCTCATTATAACAACAGGTGATGATGATGGTGATAAAGTATATTATATTACCTCTACCGGTGAAAGAAGATATATAATTATAACGACTAGTGTTGAAGAATATATTATTAAATCCACCGGTGAAAGAGGATTTATTACTAAAATAACAGGTGATGATGGTGAAAAGGTATATTTTATTACTTATACCGGAGAAAGAAAATATATTATTACCATAACAATAGATGATCATGGTGTTGAAGAATATTTTATTACCTCTACAAAAGAAAGATTATATCTCTTTACAACAACAAGTGATGATTACGAGAAAGAAGAATATATTGAAGGAGACGGAAAATACATTACTACTACTACTGCCACCACAGGTGGAAAAATTATCGAAGGTGGAAAGACAACAAAAACCACTTATATTACTAGTGGTGGTGGTGGTGACTCGAGAGAACATACTTCAATTAGTAGTTCAAGAATACCAATGAGAAAACAAGCAAGGAAACAAAATGAATCCATTAGTGAATCAACAGATGCCGACGGTATAACGACAATAACTAAAATAGTAACTACAACCGAAGAAAACGGTGAAAAAACCGTCACAAAAACAATCACTAAAAAAGACCAAAGTGGAAGAGAAATATCAAGTAGCTCTAGTACAAATGTTACAAATATTGCTGTTAATGATGAAACAGAAGAATATATTACCAATGTAATAGAAGAAGGTGAAGGAAGCGAAGTTATTACTACCTCAACTACGAGCGGCGGGGAAACTCGAACGATTACGACAACCTCAAGCACTGGTGGAGTCGCGGGTGCTTCTATAATTGAAACACAACAAACAAATAACGAAAAGAAAACTTCCTCCGCTGATAAGTATTCTACATCTTTAACGGCTAGTAATGATAATAGCATCAGTAGTGCACGTTCGATTAAAAGAACTTCATCTTATGGTAGAAGTGGTGGTAAAATATCAAAAGGTACCAAGAAATCTAAAGCGACTACTGCCTCTAAAGTAAATAGAAGTGGTGATGAAGACAAATTAGGAAGGGTTAATAGTGTTGATAGCGTTAGCAGTATGAGCAGTAGTGATAGCACTGAATAATTAACGAAAAAATATAATTATTTAAATTATTTATTTATTTATTTATTTACATGTTAAAATTTACATTTTTATTCGTTTTAATTTATGTTATTTTATTTATTTAATATGTAACTTACAATTCATCTGATCTTATTATATTTTTGGGAATTTCAAACTTATTTATTTTTTTTTTTTCGATTTTCGATTTCGATTTACTTAATTTATGTTATTGGGATTCCAGAAGGTATTATTTCTTTTTTTTTGGTTTTGGATGTATTTGGTTATATTAGAGATAGACATAAATATATATATATATATTAATGACAAGAATGTAAAATTAGCTTATTAATAAAGATTAATATAACTATATCTTGGTGGGTTATTAACGTGAAAATAATTTTCAACTGTTGTATAATTACACGTCAAATTATTATGTTCTTCATCATCATCGGAATCTCCAAGCACGCGTCGAGCGATTCTTTGATATTCCGGATGGCAAGGACAATAAAAACTTGTATCCTCATAATTTGGTAAATTAATAATATCTCCAACCTCCATGCAACTTAATAAATTAATCCTGGCCCTACCCCTACCACTAATCCTAACCCTATCATTAAATGGTTTCTTGCTATCATTATTATTCGGCAAGCTAATTAAAAAATTAAATTCTAATTCATGTTTAATCTCAATTAATGGAGTATCCAAGCTATAATATATCATATTGTTGTTACATTTAGGTAATTCAAACATGAGAGTCTTTTCATAAATCGAACGTCCAATTTCTTTCTCTTCGCAATAATCCTCTTCCTTATCGATTAAATAAAGTTCCTTTACATTGTCAAATTGTGAATGATTTAAGTATTGAATGTATTCAGTTTTATGTCCATTATTTGTATAAGTAACATTTTGTACCAATCGAATTTGTATTGAATTTAATTTAAATTTTTTACCTAGAGGTATCAATTTAATATGAATAGGAACCATATCACCAAGTGGAAAGGAGTTTTTAGGAATTGACAATTGATATTCGATAACTTGTTCATAATTTCTCGATATTTCTATACCATACGAATAATTATCATAATCTGGTAATCTTATTATTTCAACTTGACGAACGTTTAAAAGGGTTTTTGAATGAAATTTGGGAATATGATTAACCTTACACTTTAATTTATATTGTACGGATCCTAATTTTGCTTTGATTGATTCCGGAAGTGATCCTGGCAATTGAAATTCAAATGGTAATTTATGAATTCCTGATGGAAATGTTGAATAATTTTGCTTATTTGGTAATTTAGAAAATAATTTACATAACGATGAACTCGAATGATTTAGAAAGGTTATCTTCTTTGAAATAAGTTCTATTTTATCATCCGTGGTTGCTCCGAATGCTGTGATTACGAAAGGAAAAAAAAAAATTATTTTTGTTAATGTTTTGGTTTTCTTTTTTTTTTTGTTTTTGTTTTTTTTTAAAAAAAAAAAAAAAGTTTACGTACAACTTAGACCAAAGGTTCTTGTTTCTCCATAAAATTGTAATTCAATAGAAATGATTTTTTCTGGTTTATTCAATGTCAACGTGATTTCACCTCTCAAAAGTGATCCAACAGATTCATTTACATTTCCACGAAATATTACAACCGATTCAAATAAATCTATTTGAATATCTTGTTTATTCAATGGTTTGACTTCATTTTCTGAATTCGAATTATTTGTAGAAAGATGAGTTCTAGGAAGACCATCTGACGTAAGTTGATGGATCATCGTTTGTTGTTTTTTGAAGGGTTCGATGAACTTTGCTCTTATTTATAATTATTTGTATTACAAAATAAAATTTTTTCAAAAAGGTTTCAGAATTAATGGAATTACTGCATTCCCGGAATATTGAATGATTGATGTAAAAAAATCGCATACTAAGTAACAAATTATTGGTGGTGGGTTACTGCGCTTTCAGACAAATCATCTACTAGGTCACACCACTACCATCTTATGGTTAATACCAATGATTTTAAAACTTCCGATATTAAACTGAAGAACTGCTAAATTGGTAAGTTTCATTTGATGGAGCTGCGATCACTTCCAACAATAAAATAATATGAAACAATTTTTAGACTGCATAAATAATGTGATCTCGGATGCATTTAGGTCATCTTTACATCGGAAGCAAATCTGTAAAAATTGATAATAATTTAAATCATAATCAGTTAAGTACTCACTTATGAGGAGGTTCGAAATTCAGAAACATGCAATGTCTCTAACGTTCCGCCAAGAGTTGTTTTTTTATAGGACTGGTGCCAAAGAGGAGAAATCACTTGTTCCATAAGCGATGACTACCGAATTATTAAAATCTTATTTATTTTCAATAATTTTTGGCATATACAGTGACTTCCATAATTATTGTACCACTTCGTTTATAATTTTTTAGATGTAATCGAATGATTTGCAAGTTTATATTCTTTCATAACCATAAACTTTATGGTACAATACTCTTGGCTCATATAATAAATAAAATCAAAAATATAAATTTTTCAAATTTTTTTTTAACAAACTATACTCTATTTTTTTTTTTTATTAAACTATCATCTCGTATATCTTCCATTAACCTTAAGTACATCTTTAACTCGTTGTGGCATAGTATTCAATTAGCTTTAAACAAAAATCAACATCAATTTGATTCCATACTAATTGTATCTTATTTCACAAATCTTCTGCACTAGTAATATCAGAAAGCTGTTGCAAACGACTATCAATTTCATTCCACAAACGTTCTATAGGGTTTAAGTCCATGATTGTACTGACCAATCTAAAATTTCAATATTAGTGTCATCAAACCACTCATATGTCTTCTTTGCTATATGTTTTGGGTCATTATCCTGTTGGAAAATGACATCATGTATATTCAAATTACATGTGATAAGGACCCCTAAAAACTCACCTTTCAAATTTCTCTATATAGCTCTCTATCTATTCTTTCATCAATTTTTACAATACTTTTCAATACCAAATGAACCTAAACAACCTCATTTTATTACAGAACCTCTATTAAACTTTCCAGTTAGTTTAATATGCTATAGTTGCAAAGATAAATTTGAATCTTTCCAATACCACTTTCTCTCATCTAAAACAAAATTAAGAATTTACTTATATCTGAACACACTACTTTTTGCTAATCTTCTATATTCAATTCTTATATTTTTGAACAAATTTTTTTGGGCTTGTCTATGTCTCTTTAAAAGCAATTTTTTTAATAAACGTTAAATAGTATTTGATAAAATAATAATATTTTCATTAAAAATTAAAAATTTTGAATTTGAATAGTATTGTACATTCATCTGACTTAATAAGCCTAATAATATTTCTATCATAATATTTTGTAAGTAATTTTAAACAACCAAATTTTGAAATAACATTAAATCTACCTGTTTCTTCTTTTCTTTGTTTAATTCTTATTACAAAAGCATAACTTATATTTTTGTAAGAAACAATTGTATGATTTAGTAAACCTTCTTAATAAAGGTAAAAATTCATTCCTTTTAGTGAAATAAAATCACCTTCATAATATATTAAAAAAAAATAAAAAAAAAGATATACACATTGATCTAATGATTTGAATTTACTTATATATATAAAATATATCACATAATCATAACTTTATTATATTAAAATTAATTGTCAAAAAGTATTATATTACAAAAAAATTACATATAAAGAAAATTTTAAAGAGCCATAAATTAAGTAACACTTAAATTTAAATACATTAAAATCAGATTATAGGCTTTAAATTAAATTAAATTTAATTATATAATTATTTTAAATTATGTAGGTATTATAACCTAAAATTATAAATGAAGTAAAACAATAATTATAAAAATTATTATGATATTTTTAAAATTTTTACAACTAAATTATTATTGATATATTTTATTTATTTAGATATTTATTTTGATAAGTATATAATAAGTTTTAAAATTATAATAAAGGAAAAAATAATCAGAATTGCAAAAAATGAATATTTATTATTAGAATTATTTTAAAATTCACTATCTTTTATTAAATATAAAGAGTAAATAAAAGTATCTGCATATCTTTAATAAATGCAAATTAATGCTAAAAAGTCATATAACTGCAATAACAAATTTCATTTATATGATATTTATGTGTTTATTTATATTATAAAAATAAAAAATAAACAATTTGTTTATTATTTTTAATAAATTTTCTTCTCTGAAAATTTAAAAATGGTAAAATTAAAAATTAACTGCAGAATAATGTAAAGTCATAATTTATTGTTATCAATTTAGTGAAAGTTATTAAAGTATTACAAATACTATTGACTGTAAAGTATTAACTATTTATGATACTATTATTTAATTTTATAATACTAAATTAACTAAATTGATGCATCATTTTAGATGTTTGCTTTTGATTTTAATCTTACAATATAATCACCTTAAATAAATCATGACAAATAATAAAACTAAATTTTGTTATCTATATACAGTTGAAATACAACAGCTGAAAAAAGAAGATTAGGTAAGTTATTTTAACCAAAACAATTAGACTAGCCTTCTGTTCAGTTAAATTAAAAATTGTATTATATAGATAAAATTATTAATTATATTAGCAAATATTAAAGTGTGTCGTAAATAATGTTTAAAATATTAAAATTAGATTTAAATAGATTGACAAAAAGTCTTATAAAATAATAAATTCATATTCTCTTAATTTCAACAAAGTCACCCTAATAAGATTTAACATAAACTAAAGGATAAATAGATTTTATCCTATATTATAACTATAATAAAATATAGTTATAACTGAATATACAGAAGCTACTTTTCAAGAAAAAGTATAAGGCCAATTAATCCATTATCTGAAATAATAACTGGTGATTCATATTGTTAAATGGAATAACTCTTGAACTAATGATCAATATTTCAATAGAAATAGTATCATTAGAACTATTTTAATGGGTTTTTCAACAAATATAAGCTTGATCTGATTGGACAAATATTTAGTGAAAT